GCCCAGAGAGCATAATTGGCTAGTTGCACAGCTAGTTCTTGGTGGAACCAAAATAGATAAGGTGAAAACTCAATCAAATTGGTGAGTTTGGTAGGACAAACTTGATAAGGAGTGAGCAGTGCCAAGATGACACTAGATAGTCATTTAAGAGTTCCTTCATCCATTCAGTTCTGTGTCAGAGGTGTGCAAGCCAAAGCCCAGACACCAGCTATCAAACCTCTGGGACACCTGGAAAGACCCCTAAGAAATCCAAAACCAAGCCAATTGCCATCGAGTCGATTCCACCTCATGCAACCACACATGTGTAAGAACAGAGCTGAGCTCCATAGGATTTTTTGGAAGTAGATCACCAGACCTTGCTTTGGAGGTGCCTCTGAGTAGACTCAAACCTTCAACCTTTCTGTTAGCAGCTAAGCACTTAACAGTTTGCACCCTTCGGGGACTCCAGAAACCAAACCAAACCCACTGTCGTCAAGTCAATTCCAACTCATAGCAACCCTATAGGACAGAGTAGAGCTGCCCCATAGGGTTTTCAAGGCTGTAATCTTTATGGAAGCAGACTGCCACATCTTTCTCCCACAGAGTGGCTGGGGTTCAAAACAAATCACTTTTGGTTAGCAACTGAGCACTTAACCACTGCATCACCAGGGCTCATATAGAGAGGCCACTGAAACTCCCTAATGATGAGGTCCTGGAGGCTTTTGCCTGCCAGGAACACGGAGACCCTTGAGCCTGCTCAGCCTCCTCCAGTCCCTACCAGCACAGCCAGATGAGGAGCCAGTAATAGCCAGTACTAGTGAATCCGGCAGGAGTTCAACATCCACTAGCTTTTTCGTGATTCACTTAGCATACATAGGGGTGAGCTGACAGAATTGTTTCCCCTGAATGTAGGAAGGCACATATCCAGCCTGCAAAAACATATTTATTGCAAGAGTTATATTAGTCTTGTAAGTAAGCGCCAGCCTTCTCCAAGGAAAGACACGGGTGGTAAAATGAAAGAAATCAGCTCAGTATTTTGACTGCTTGCTGTGGTGAAAGGACTTCTTTTCCCCACATATGCAGAGACAGGACACGTCTTTAGATGCACGGAAGCTAAGCCAGAGCAGCTTAGGAAAGTCATGGGAGCAAGCCTTGCTCCTAAGGCCTGTTGGATGTCCTTTTCTGCCTGGTAGGACTGTTCAGGAGCCCTGGTGGCGCAGTAGTTAAGAGCTCGGCTGCTAATCAAAAGGTCAGCAGTTCAAATCTACCAGCTGCTCCTTAGAAACTCTATGGGGCAGTTCTACTCTGTCCTATAGGGTTGCTATGAGTCATAACCAACTTGACGGCAACAGGTCTTGGTTTCTGATTTTAGGACTGTTCTGGTGCATTGGGATTTTCCAGAGTTAGAAGCTGAGCCACGCTGCTGCTGCTGCTGCACAGTGTTTGTGATTAAGAACTTTATTGATTTTCTAGCCCATGACCACATTGGTTGGGGATAGAGTACGACAGAGGGAAACGGTGGGAAGCCAAGTGGAAAGAGGGTTTATGAAATGAGCTCTCAGTGAAGAAAACTATGGGAAAGAATGTGATGGAAGCAGATTTGGGGCCCGTAGATGTGGGAAAGTAGAACAACTCACAAATGCCTTCAGGCTTGAGCTGCAACAAGCACTTTGCCAAAACACAGGAAGAGGATCCAGTCTGTGAGAGAGATTCACCACTGTTTATATAAACAATAAAATCATCACTGACAATCCTTAACCCTTGTCTTAGTCATCTAGTGCTGCTGTAACAGGAATGCCACAAATGGGTGCTTTTAACAAACAGAAATTTATTTTCTCACAGTTTAGGAGGCTAGAAGTCCGAATTCAAGGTGTCAGCTCTGTTGTTGTTGGCTCTGGAGGAAGGTCCTTGTCTCTTCTGAGCTTCTGCTCCTGGGTGATCCTCATGTGGGTTGGCATCTCTCTTCCCCTATCTCTGCTTACTTGCTGACTTGTTTTATCTCTCTTTATATCTTAAAACAGATTGACTCAAGATACACCCTACACTAATCCTGTCTCTTTATCATAATAAAGACAACCCATTCCCAAATGGATTTATAACCACAGGCATGGAGGTTAGGATTTACAACAAATATTTAAGGGGAACACAATTCAATCCATAACAGCCCTCATTCTATACCAGGTACTGTGTTGGGTCCTGAGGCTTTAAATAAGAATCTGTCAGTCTAGAGAAGGAGACTGAAAACATACACAAAATAACTTTTAAAAGTGCAAATGTATGTTAAGGAAGCCATAAAAACATGTTGCCTAAACTCTGGGCCCAGAGCCAGCAGCCGTGAATGGTGGGAGAGGGGAGATGGGACTGCGCCCCAGGTGCTGCTGGCTTCCCGTGCAGATCTGGTGAAGTTTTCACTCCTATCACTGCCCCCACCCACTTACAGGTCCAGAGGAGGTCTGCTTCAGAGATGGGGGCTGTGTGCACATTTCCAGGTGTCCCCGAGGTAACACGTGCAAAGGGAGCACTTGACAGTTTGGGTGTGCAGTGCAGGCTGGGAAAACTTCACAGCACCAAGGGGAGTTTTGAACATAACTTCTCTAAACATAAAGATAGGCGCAGGACACTTGTGACATGATTCTCTCTCTCTTTCTCATATACATGTGCACACACACAATCACCCACCAAGAACCTGCCTCTCTGTGGTTCCAACTGTGTGTTTGAGAGAAGATTTCTTCCAACCCACCTGTCTTAGTTATCTAGTGCTGCTATAACAGAAATACAAGTGGATGGCTTTAACAAAGAGAAGTTTATTTTCTCACAGTCTAGTAGGCTGGAAGTCCAAATTCAGGGTGTCATTTCCAGGGGAAGGCTTTCTCTCTCTGTTGGCTCGGGAGGAAGGTCCTTCTCATCAATCTTCCCCTGGACTAGGAGCTTCTCCACACAAGAACTCTGGGTCCAAAGGATGTACTCTGCTCCCAGTGCTGCTTTCTTGGTGGTATGGGGTCCCGCACTCTCTGCTCACTTCTCTTTCCTTTTATCTCTTGTAAGATAAGAGGTGGTGCAGGCCACACTCCAGGGAAAGTCCCTTTACATTGGATCAGGGATATGACCTGAGTAAGGGTGTTACATCCCACCCTAATCCTCTTTAACATAACTCAATCTTGCCTTATTAACCACAGGCAGAGATTATGGTTTACAATACATAGGAAAATTACATCAATCAGAAAATGGAGAATAACCACACAATACTGGGAATCATGGCCCAAACAAGTTGATACATATTTTTGGAGGACACAATTCAATCCATAACAACACCCTTCCTCTCTCCCTACCTTGACCCCCTTTGAATAAAGCAGTTAATTATTTTTGCTGCCTCCTTTAGCTTTCAGCATCTTTCTTGCCTCTGAAAATAAACTGCAAAGTGGGGAAGAAGATGGGTGTTTGGTGTGTTTTCATACATCACTATGATATGCAAGGGAGGAGGTGACATGTAAAAAGGGAAAATAAGAAAAAATACCATATAACTAAAAAATGAGGGACCAAGCTCAGTAAATGATTAAAAAAAATCACAAATAAAATTTTGTTTCTGTGGTTGTTTGAAAATGATATAACCAGAAGTGGCTCTTTTATCTTTCACTGCTGGAATACCTTCTCTGCATAGCCTTGGGGCCCAGTTACCTGTACTGGACGACTGATGGCGCAGTGGTTAAGAGCTTGGCTGCTAACCAAAAGGTCAACAGTTGGACTCCACCAGCTGCTCCTTGGAAACCCTATGAGGCAGTTCTACTCTGTCCTATAGGGTCACTATGAGTTGGAATCAACTCAACAACAACGAGTTTAAGCCAGAAGACTTCAGAGTGGTCTAGCCTAAGCTGAAGGACCTCAGAGTGATAGAGCTTAAGTCATAGGGGATCTTATAGCTTTGCAGCCTAAGCTTCTTAATTCCTGGAGGAGGAATTCAGGCTGACAGGGGTGGCCTCCTGCCCCTCTGAGGGAGAGCCTGCAACAGGACTCAAATCAAATCTCCTAACCCCTGGTTCAGGCCCTTCCCTGCCTTTCTAAAACAGCCAAAAGGTGCTGAAATTCCTGGCAGTGTATGGGGACGAACGTCCCTGGCATTGTTCTCCTCACGGAGGAAAAGCTGAATTAAAAAAAAAAAAAAAAAAAAAACCTGCAACCTGGCATTTAAGCACAGAGCTAAAAGCAAGGCGTGATCTCCTGGGTGCTAGAAGTACTTTAAAATCCTCAAAGTCTCATTCATTGTTCAGAAAACAAAATAGACCAACTTTCTTTGCTCCCTCCCCTCTTCCACTTCATCCCCTTCCACAGTGCAGTAGCTGTGCCTGGCAGACGCCCAGAACAGCACCCTGTAATTCCACGGTACATTGTGCACATTTGCATCCATTTAACCAGCTATTTACGGCCGCCCTTTACCGCCACCTGTAAGAGGCAGCGCCATAATGACACTGTCTAAGCGGCTGGGCCGGGAACCGGGTGCCCAGGGGTTTCTCCACTTGAAGACGCTCGAATCTGTGAAGTGGTTGGCACTTGAAGAAACAGGGAGACAGCGGGGAATATCACACACAGGGCGGGAGGCGAGAAAGGATGGCGCGCGCCAGACGGAGGGTCTTTCCTCCGTAGCTCCTTCAACCATCACCACATCGCGACTAAGAACTTTCAGGGCCCTCGGTGCGGCTTGCTTCCTGCCTGATAAGGAGCCCGCTGCCTTTTGGATTTAGTTAATTTCTGAACCACTCGACGCGCTCGGCAGTCCAGAGGAGGGTGTGACGAGGCGCCCTGGGGTGGGACTCACGGTCCGGCGGAATCGATCTACATGACACCCCCTCGAGTCCGGGAAACCGGCTCGCGGATGTCATGCGGGGCTGCGGGGACATCTGCGCTCCCGTGTGTGCTGCACTCGTGCAGCTCCGGGTGGCAAGCGGGGTGAAGTGGGGGCGAGAGGAAGTCGAGGAGCCAGAGCGTCAGAAACGCCTTCTCTGCGCTTCGGAGGCTGACCCGACGGGGGCTGGCTGGCACTGCAGGACGGACTTCCAAGTTGCCCCTAGAACACCTGGAGGTCGGGAGCTCAAAGCCCCCACAGGCGGCTAGCCAGTGGCCTCACGTGTCCGCGAGAAGCCCGCGACGCCCAGGACCGCATGGCGCGCTTAGAGCTCGCCAAGTCGCGCATAAGCCAAAGATAAACGCTAATGGGCCCGCGGGCTTGTTGGCTGGGACGCTGAGTTAGCGCGCACCCGGAGCGCCTTTCGTTTTAAGGAACCTTACTTCTGGGAAGGGACAGGGAACTGTCAATCAGCGAGGGAGGGAGCGCACCGGCGCTGGGTGATGTCAGCGGATCAGCTGCTCGATAACAAAGAAGGGGTATTACAGGAGAAAGTTGCAGCAGCGGCGGCGACCGCAGCGGCACCCGGGAGCCTCAGAGGCGAGGGGCTAGTGGGTGAAGGAAGGAAGGACGGCTGCTGCCTCAGCAGTTGAAGGCCAAGGAATTAGGAGGGCTCTAGGGGGAGGCAGGCAGTGCGAGCCAGCCCCGACTGCTCCTCCTCTTCCTCCTCCTCCTCCAAACTCGCAGGGCTGAGCCCCAGCGCTCGCTCAGCCGCCGGGAGCACCAAGAGGGACGGGAGGCAGCCGCGCGGCCCAGAGCCGGTCAGGGTCCCCAGCCGCCATGGATAGCGACGACGAGATGGTGGAGGAGGCAGTGGAAGGTACCAGCATTTCTTCGGGGCCGGGAAGGAGGCGCGGAGGGCTGGGAGCGCGGGAGGAGTGGCGGGCTGCGGCCGGCGTGGCACCGGGCCCCGCAGCCACCACTGTCCCCTAAGCGAGTGGCC